TGAAGATAATAACAAATGTGGAAAAGGAAGAATGCAAAAATAATTCTCCTGCAAAGCAAAGCAACGAATGGACTGCGCGTATATGCGTCAGGCGCGCAAGTCGGCGCGCGTGACGCGTCTGATTTCATCTATTTTTTTATATTTTAACTTTTTTTTTGTTTTGTTTTTTCTTTTTTCTCTCTCCCCTCCCACTTTCTCTTTCTTAATCATTCTTACATTATCCTCCAAATCTCCCCAACTAATGTGGATGCTCTAAATATCAGTTGAGATCAGAGCTGTTGGTATTAATATACTTTTTTTATTATTATTATAATACATTTTGTAATATATATTAATTTTGTAATTATTTGATTTTATGTAACACTTTAATATTAAGTATATTAGTTGTACTTAGTTAAGGTATTTAAATGTCTTTTGTTCTAAACAATTACAATTTAATTATCTAATGATTTATTTACTATATTATTAAAACAATGATTATAATATGTATCCGTGCATCGCACAGGACAATACTAGTAATAATAATAATAGAAGTGTCTAGCTAAGTTTTCCCTAAAATTTAGGGACATTTTTGTAAAATTAAACTCATAATTATTTTAGTAAAATTATTGATTTTATTAACTAACTATATATATTTTCATACAATTTATTGCCCCATCATTCTTCCTAAACCGCCAGCTTCTCTCATATAAGATCCAACCATGGGAGATTGCTTCCTCACAACTTCCGAACTCGGCAATTTGTTTCGTAAGTTTCCGATCACAACTCCGATGGACAAGCTCAAGAGTAAGTGAAAATCATTTGATTTCTTTCTTTAGATTCATGATTATGCTTTTGCCTGTTCTTCCTTTCATCATGTTAACAATTTGTTTTGAAAATTTTTGTAGTGAAATTTTTTGGAGGTACGCCGCGGTATGATCCCGACAAGAAGAGCTGTGTTTGGATCGGGACATCTACTATGAAAAAAAAAAAAAAAAAAAAAAAAAAAAAGAAAAAAAAAACAAAAAAAAACTGATCCTTTGACTTATCGCTTTTGGAACATGGTTGCAAATACAGTGGACTTTAATTTATAATCCCCCTGGCATTTATGTTTGGCTCTCAAAAGGGTGTCGTTCAGCTTCATTTGCCATTCATTCATTCCGCAGTTTTCTTCGGTTCCTATCTCCTGCTTCTATCAATTCAGATACTCATAGAACTACTGACATTGCATTGCCAGTCCTCGGTATGGTTGGTGATGCTTGTCGCCTATGAAGGTTATATTCAGATACTCGAGGACGTGAAACTTGATCCGTCGTTGCAATATGGAGAAGGCTTTTATTGGCTGAATTGATGTACCTCAATACGATACCTTCTAGTTTACCCCTCTTTGAATAAATAATCGAGACGGGGAGAACCCCAAACGAGGGAGGTTTATTGTTGAGAAACGGTATTTTTCATGAACTATTATTACTTATGTATGATATTCAACGTTTTCCCATCAAGTGCATTAGTGCAAAAATGATGTTCTCTTTCGGGGCCTTCGGCCCCTCCCCTCTACCAAAATTAAAGAAAAATAATGATGTTCTCATTCATTTTCTTCAATCTATCTTTTTGACTATATTTCCATAATTTTAACATGCAGCTATTAGCTTTGATGATAATCTTACTTATCTTACTTCTCTCATATCATTTACTTCTTTCTATGAACGAATAAATCATTATTAAGGAGACTTTGCATGTGATGTTATAGCCTAAAAATTACTTTGAAGCACTAACAATCTAACATAATAATCTTAATAACATGCAAAATATATTTAAGTAAAAAGTCAAAATGTTTCTCTCTAGTCATAGTAGATGTGTTGATGCACGCATATGTTAATCCATTTATTATGGTAATCTATATAGTATAATTATCATATATACTATTTACCATCTAAATAAATTACCAACCGTATTTAACATCTAAATTTATTATAGTAATTAGACATATAGAATTCTTTCTTACGATAAATGTATTACGGAGTGTCATCTAGCAAGGGGTCATCATCGACCCTCTTCGGTTCAACACTCCTTAAAACATTAGCTTGTGCCTCCATCCCAATGTTTGTAGTGAGCTCCCTCATCATGAGGCAAAGAGTTTCCTCAAACTGTTTCAATGGTTGCAACATGACATTCTTCAAGGAGGCTAACTCTTCCCCCACTTCCTTTTTGACTTCGGCCTTGAGAGTAGTCATTGCTTCCTTCTCCTCATGAATGATCTTTTGCCACTCCCTCTCAAGGTATTCAAGCTCATCATTAAGGTGTGGTGGGTTATCATAAGGTGGTTCCTTCCAATGTGAGTACTTGTATGTCATAAGATCTTCTTTCATCATATTGCCAATGGGTGGTTACTTGAGGTGGATTTTCGGGTGGGTAGATATGTTGGGGTTCATATGAATTTGTAGCTTGAGCTTTTCCAATTTGGTATGGTGGTGGTGGATAGCAAAACGGAGGTGGGTGATAGTGAAATGAAAAGTGTGGTGGGTAGTGAAGTGGAAAGTGTGATGGATAATGGTATGCATAGGGGGTGTAATGGGTGTGTTGTCCACAAGTGCAAGGTGGAGAATGGCTACATGGTTCTCCATGGGGTGGACATCCATAAGGATATGCATCCTTATTCATTGGTGAGCTTATTTGATATGCTTTTCAAAAATTTCTTGCACAAAGCTTCACCAAACAAGTGTGTTCGACCCTATGTGCTGTGATAGGAGGGGAAGGCTTGAATACCATAAAACTCTTGGGCAATGTATAGAAGCAATCAGTGGTTATCTTGATTGATAGTGGTAATACTCACTATTTCATGGATCCTAAATTGCTATGCCAACTAAGGAAGGAGCTTGAGAAGACAACCCCACTGGTGGTGACAGTTGTCAATGGGGAGAAGGTCATAAGTGATTCAGTTTGCCAATGCCTCTACTGGTAGATTCAGCAGGAACAATTTGTGAAGGACTTTAGGCTCCTGAGGTTGGGAAGCTGTGACATGGTGTTGGGGATGGATTGGGTAGATCAATATGCCCCAATTCAACTTCACACCAGGTCTCCTAGTATTTCCTTTCACAAAGAGAGGAGGGAAGTTTTTCTGAAAGGGCTGACCAGGAAAGTAATGTTGAAGGCAACCTCTGACAAACAAGTAAAGAAATGGCACAATGAAGGTGTTCATGGTTTCTTAATCCAATGCAGTGTACCACCTTCCCTATAGTTTACTGAATCTTCCACCTGCTACCACACTATTACACAATTAGTACCACCAAAGTTGTCACAGTTATTGTAGGATTTTTAGGAGTTATTCCAAGAACCATCAACCCTACTCCCTCAAAGAACCCTTGACCACACCATTCCTCCAATCCCAGGGGCTAAGCCTATCAACATTGGGCCTTACAGGTATTCCTATACTCAGAAAAATACTATTGAGAATATGGTAGAGGAAATGCTCACAACTGTGATTATTAGTCCAAGTACTTCATGTTTTGCTTCCCGTGTATTGTTGGTTCCCAAGAAAGACAATACATGGAGATTTTGCATAGATTACAGTGCTCTCAACAACATTACCATCAAAAACAAATTTCCAATACCCCCAGCGAAAGACCTATTCCCAGAATTGGCTGGGGCCACCTATTTCTCTGAATTTGACCTAAGATCTGATTAGCACCGGGTAAGAATGAAGGAAGGGGATGAATACAAAACAACTTTCAAAACTCACCAAGGTTTGTATGAATTCAGGGTCATGCCATTTGTGCTCACTAATGCCCTAGCAACCTTCTAGGCTTATATTAATTCAGTGTTCAAACCATTGCTCAGGAAATGAGTGTTGGTGTTCTTTGATGATATTCTGGTATATAGCAAAGGCTTAGGGGCTCACTGGCAGCACCTGGAAGAGGTCCTAGTAATCATGAGGCAGCATTAGCTATATGCCAAACTAAGCAAATGTTTCTTTGCTCAGCCACAAGTGGAATATCTAGGACATATAATCTCTCAAGAAGGGTTGCAAACTGACCCAGCTAAGCTTGAGGCAGTAGCAACTTAGCCTAAACCCTTAACTGTTAAGGCTCTAAGAGGGTTTTTAGGCCTAGTTGGGTACTATAGAAGGTTTATTAAAACCCATGGGATCATTAGCAAACCACTGTCAGACTTGTTAAACAAGGATGCCTTTTGTTGGATGATGAAGCTGAAAGAGCCTTTGAACAATTGAAAAATGCATTATGTCACTCACCTGTCCTAGCTTTGCCAGATTTTCAGAAGGAATTTGTGATTGAGGCAGATGCAAGCCATAAGGGAATGGGGGCTGTCCTAATGCAAGACGGCAAACTAGTTGCCTCTTTCAGCAAGGCTTTTGGAGGAAAACATTTGGCGTTTTCCATCTATGAGAAGGAATACCTCTCCATTATTAATGACGTGGATAAATGGAGGTTTTATCTTCTTGGGAGGCATTTCACTATCAAAACAGATCATCATAACAACTTATGCCATTTCAACTGCTCAACCCTAATGGATGGAAGATATCATCAAAAGTTATGATAATGATAGTTGGGCGACTGATAACTTAACTACTGCACTAGTTAACCCACTACTGATCCCAATGTCACTAGTACAGAAATACACATCCGCTACCCTTGTAAATGACTATCCGCTACCCTTGTACAAGAGTAGCATATGTTAGGGTCGCAGAAAGCCCTGAGCTTTCCGCTACCCTTTTACAAGGGTAGCGGAAAGTTGAGTATCCGCTACCCTTCTAACTGTAGAAGGGTAGGGCATATTATTATTATTATTATTATTATTATTTTTTCTTAATCTTCCACTACCTTTTCTGGGAAGAAAGGGTAGCGGATGGTTTACTTTTTTACAAAAAAAAAAATTCATTTATTATTTTTAAAATTCCCAATTTTATAAAAAAATCTTGTACATAATTCATAAACAACATATCAATACAATATTATGAACACAATATTATCAATGCACTTTCAATACAATACTATCGATACAATTCAATACTATCGATACAATATTTTATATCAATCAATCTCAATACTTTCATCACAATAATAAATAAATTATAAACACAAGATAATATTTAATCTAAAATAAAAGTTAAAAATGACTCCACAAGACATTTTGATCACAATTGTGATGTCTGCTACTACCTGAAGTGTTCGCATATTATGCCAGCTTAAGGTAGCCTTAAAGGCACTTGAAACAACATGTAAGGTTTTGATCGTTTCAGGTTTCCTCTTCACATACATCCTTTTCAAGAAGTTAGTAGCAAAGCTCATGGCATATCTGCAGCAAAAGAACTGTGTTGATAAGCAATTTTCAGTTAGAAGATAAGGAAAAAGCCATAATAAAAACAATGGTAGGTCGAGGGCTTAGTTAGTTATTAACAACCTCGGTTAACCAAGTATAGAACCAAAATTGTGACATAAAACGTGACACAAGTAGAAAGGAAAGGGCAATGAGGAGAAATGCAGACACAGCTACTTACATCTTTGCAAGAAGAGGGAGTAGTCGTCTTTGATGGCTGGGGTAATCAAGCAATAAAGCTTCAGGTCCATTTGGTGTGACTGAAAATGCTCTCCTTGTCAATGAGTATCTTATGGCAATTGCTAAGCCCAGCTGATGAATATCCAAGTGTTATTACAGAACAGTTCTAATTTAATTAGTCTTTCAGAAATACTAAATCAGAGAAGAGGGTGTTTTACTTTTGCTGAGTAAGTTACAATGGATGGTATGGTTACACGCCCTGTTGTCAAAGGCGCCATGAATGCTCCCGAATCTCTGAAACATAAACCATTAAACAATGCCAAGGAACTAGAAGATCACAACAAGACAGACAGACACAGTTTAGCATTGGTACTAAAGGTTAATTGAGGTTACCCTGTCAGGATCCTTAATTGCAGTCAGATACTTGCCATCAAGAGAAACATCTGCCATTGAATTCAGAAACACTTAAACATATATACATAAGATTGAGTCATATAACATACATTAGCTGCCCCTCCTATCCAGTACTTCTGAGCTGATTCACATGGAGTGTTTATAACAAACTCTCTTGTGCTCGAGTTATATGTTGTGACTGTTTCAATACCTCAGACCTGGGAAATCATAGAGCAAACATCCTATCCTATTAACATTCCTGGATGATGATTTGCATTCATTTCATTTGACAGAACTGAACTATATAAACCACTTTCACAGACATTACTGCCATGCCCCAACTCTGACATTGAAAAACAACCTTTCACTGCATAATTTTCAGTATCCCTCAACCACTCATCATGGTGGCGCTTTGTTCCCAGAAACAGGATAGCTCCACCCCTGACATGTACCATTTTCAAAAATGAAAAGAAAAGAAAATATAAGTTAACTCTTAAGCAACTTAATCACACTTCTTAAATACCACAGAAACTAAAAAGATCTCAAATATTAAGATCACTTGCCAAATCTGTAAATATACATTAAAATTATTTATTTAAAATAAAAATAGTACACAAAACAAGAAAAACAGCATATCTCATTCATCAAGATTAACCAAACCATTAAATACAAGTCCTTAAAAATGCATAATTTAAATACATATAACCACACAATAAGCATTTAACACTATTGAGAAGTGAAATTATAGCCAACCTTGTTTCTGTCAGCTGCTGCAGCTTGTGCATTAGCCAGTAGTTGTGCACAAAAACCCCTTTTTCTTTTGCTTTATTCTCCCAGGGACTCCCTCAACTGCAATTAATTTACATTAGGCAACAAAACACCCAAAAAAGAAAATTGAATATTTGTGGTCTATAAAGAATTTCGTCTTATCCATCAAATAAATTGAAAGAAAAATTGACTTTTAACACTCTTTTTCATACATCAAATCAGAAACACTTTAGTAAATCATGAAGAGAAAAATCAAAAGAAAGAAATGCATTCCATTAGGAGTAACAAACACCCAAAAAATCTGACTTTTTTAACAGTCATTAATGGTGTTGGCATCTGTAAGCATATAGTTTGAGTACACCTCTCCCATAAATTTAAGAAAAGTTTCAACTGAGGTAAGATGCAAATTACTGCAGATCCAAAAGGCTTTGAAGCAAAAATCCCTGGCATTGGCCTCAAATGTTTTCCATTATCATTGTCAATAACCTGCAAAAGAATGGAGGAATTAGGAAATAGACAATACTTTTAATAAATAAAAGAAAGAACAAAGGGTCAAAACTATTCCAAAATATAATAGAAAATTGATCAATATCAAATCACGAACATAAAAAATATTTACCTATATTTGTCTACTTTTGGTCATATACTTGTTTGTCCTTTCACGACATTGTTTTCCATAGTTTTCACTATTTTTATTGTGAGGCTTCATATCAAATTTGTGATAGATCTTCCCTTCCACAAAGAACAACAGAGTATGGCTAAACTTGCAGACTTGTTCAATCAAAATCATATACTAATCGCCACAGTCTCTCTCTATACAATAATATGTATATAAATGAAAGGGTAAGAGATCTGAATATACTAATACCTTCTTGCACCAGCGACCCATGAGGAAGAGAAAACGGCGACCTTCGCAACCGGCGACCTTGCTTTGCTGTATAAAGACCGACGATGTTGGCGACCTTCGTCCTGTGTGCGCTGCTGTACGAAGAACGCTGGCAACCTTGCTCTGTTGTACGAAGACCAGCGAAGATGACGACGAAGAATGAGAACTGTGGAAGAACGGAGATGTCGACGGCGGAGGTGTGGTGAGGACGACAGCTTCTGTTAGCTTGAGAGATGTGAGAGCGAGATCTGATATGGTTTTGAAGGGTTGTTTTTTTTTTTTTTTTTTGTACCGAGATCCGTTTCCGCACTGCCCTTTCTTTTAGAAAGGGTAGTGGATAGTTTATCCTTTTTAAAAAAAAAAAAAATTCCACTACCGTTTTAATTAAAAGGGTAGCGGATTCTTATTCATTTATTTACGAGTATGCCACCGTCCCTTTTTTAAAAATAATACATTACCCTTATTTTAAGAAGGGTAGCCTAAAACCATATTTCTTTGCTCTATTTTGTACTAGTGTGTTTAAGTGGTGGGGGGGGGGAGGGGGGGGGGGGAGGGTCTTATAAGGTATAAAAATAGATTATATGTAGGGAGTGCAGGGAACTTGAGGAAGTATTTGATGTTGCAACTGCATGAATCTGCTATTGGAGGGCATGCTAGGAAGAATGGCACATACCAGAGACTGAAAGCCTTGTTTTACTGGAAGGGGTTGAAGAGCGATGTAATGGAATTGGTGAAGGGGTGTGACACTTGACAGAGGTGCAAAAGTGAGAATGTGGCTAGTCATGGCCTTTTGCTAGCAACCCCCATGGTTGTGCAAGAGGGTCAAGTGCTAGCAACCCCCATGGTTGTGCTAGGGAAGAGGCTTGTGAAAAGAAACAACAGAGCAATTACTAAAATCTTGGTGCAATGGGCTAACTTACCATCGGAGGAGGCCACTTGGAAAGAATACTACCACCTGAAGAATCAATTTCCTTCTTTTGATCCTTGGGGACAAGGATCCTCTGAAGGTGGGGGTGGTGGTATGACCCTAAAATGAACCATTAATGGTGAAGGAGGTGAAAGGGAAGGGAAGGAGGCATGGCTGGGAGACTGTCAGCTGAGAATGAATGAAGAAACAAAAGGAAGGAGCAAAACGGCGTCATGTGAACCAGCAGTAGTTGAAACCGTTGCAAGTAAGTGCTAAACGACGTCGTTTGGAGCTTGTCGTTGAGATCAGTTGAAACGCAGTCAGATGACGTCGTTTTCCGCCCAAGTAGTTTGGATTCCAGCAGCTTTGTCAATTACACCCAGCTGTAATTTGGGAGTTTGTTTTGGCCTTGTTAACCTGTATTTAGCTATGAGATGATTGTTTGAGGGATTTTATGCTGATAAATAAGAACAATCATTTTTCTTCTCTCTTATTTCTTCTCTCCCCAAGCATAATTTCCTATCTTCCTTATCTCTATTTCTTGTTTTTCTTCCTAAGTTCACTGCACAACGTTTGCCAGTATCAAGTGTCCTACGGCGGCGACTATTCCAAAACTGCCGGCGATATTGCTACCGATACTTTCACCATCAGCGATGGTTCATTCAAGAACATCGTGTTTGGGTGCGGCCACAAAAATAAATAAAATCATGTTCTCGAACAGCACTACCTCTAGCATTGTTGTTCTTGGTTACTCCAACGTCTCGATCATCAAGCATTTGCATAATGAAATTGGTGGAAAATTTGCTCATTGCTTGTCTCCTCAATCTGATTCCAAAAGCACATTAAGAACAAATCTCACGCACCTTAAACACAAAAGCACACACTTTAAGTTTTACCAACTACTCACATTAAGCACAACCCCACGCACATTAAGCACAAAACTCACGCACCTTATGCACAAGACTCACGCATCTTATATACAAAACTCACGCACATTAATCACATAACTGCTCACATTAATTTTGACCTAGATTCAAAAATTACAAAATTGCCACCACGTTTTTTTTTTAAAATTTTTGTAATCCTGGACGTTGATTTAAGCGAGATGAATGGCCCAAATTAAACCGCACAACTGCACCTGAGCACTCTAACCGCACCAGAACCTAATTCTATATATACATACACACACACACACACACACACACACACACACACACACACACACACACACACACACACACACACATATATATATATATATATATATATGTATGTATGTATGTATGTATGTATGTATGTATGTATAAAATTTAAAACTTTAATGATGTAAGAAAAATTTTGTCAAAAAAAAAAAAATAGTATCTACATCTACAATTTTAATAAGAGCCAATAATGTTAGGCCCTTAACTGGAATAAAAAAAAATGTTGGTCCTAATTGTTTCTTAAAATGAATGGTTCATATTATTTTGATTTTAGTATTTCTTAATGATTTTCCTTATTTACCCTTTATTATATTGTTTTCTTCCCTTAAATAACCTTAAATTCCGTTAGTATAAACTTTCTTATATTCCGTTAACTATTTATTATTCTTAACTTACTCATTAATTTCTATAAGAGATGTCTTAGGGTCGAACCACATCCCAAGTAGAGTTGGCATAATTGTTAAACATATACTACAAATATGTTACAAAGTATTAAAAAATACAATATAAAATTTAATATAAACTTTGGTCAAATAATTAGCCCATCTAAATACATAGCATTCAATGATTATAAATCAGGAACTTTGAAAATCATTTGATTTTCTTTCATTTAAAAAAATAAATAAATGATTATACGCCACTTTATTGCTCTTATTAAATTAAAAATAAATTAGTAGCTAAACAAAAAATAATACAATGCATTTAATTAATTTAGAATTAGATGTCTATAATGCCTCTATTTAAAATTAATTATTCATTATAAAAAAAATAAAAAGAGATATAATTTCATTAGTTATATTATCTTTATTTTATATAATTCAAAGATTCCTTACCTTCAAATTTATTAATTTATTATATTCACTACATTATCTATTGTCTTCTTTTTACATTATCTTGTAATTAAATATCAAAGTTATAATACAAAATATGTTATATATTTATTTATTTATTTATTTACCAAGTATTTTATACAAATATAATAAATATTAATATTTTGTTCAATACTTTCACATGATAACTTATGACACACATCTCACAACACATGAAACATGTAGGGGAAATTAAACTACCACTATCAAATATCAACATGTGCTTGTAATATAAAGAGTTCATAGCACAACTAAAATCCCAGTCATATACACAACAAGGCAAATCTAAAGCTTCCTACATCATAATCTCATTACATGATGAATCCCTCTATGCTACAAACAATAACCTAATTGCATATGACATACTACCAATAAAAAAAAAAAAAAAAAAAAAAAAACATGTATTGAAGATGAAGACAATGACAATGCTACCCAAACTAGAATTAGAGAAAATTAAACCAAAAGTTGTATTTATTTAGACTGTTGCTTTTAGACTAAGTATTTAGACTAGTGTATTACAAAGTTGCAAACATTTATTTTGGAATAAGGTTCAAATTGGTCACTGAACGTAACATGAAAATGCAATTAGGTCACCGAACACTCAAAAACGTGCAATTAAGCCACTGATCACTCCAAATGTATGCAATTTCACCGGATAAAAGGTTACTATCAATTGTAGCAGGTTACCTACTTACGTGACAGCTGAATTGAAATTTTAAATAATTTTTAATAAATTTTAATAATAATTTTTAAAAAAAAAAAATTAAAAAAATTTAAATAAAAAAATAAAAAAAAAAAAATAAAAAAAAAAAACAGATGGGGTAGCCAACGACCACCCGTTATTTTTTTTAAAATTTTTTTTTTAAAAAATTTATTATCAAAACTTATTTAAAATTATTCAAAATTTATTAAAAATTATTTCGTTCAGTAACCTAATTACATTTTCAGGTTACGATTAGTGGCCAATTTGAACCTTATTCCATTTATTTTTGTGACAGTTATATATAATCAATCTCTCATATATTATCTTGCATTTATATACTTTAAATTACTGATTTAAATAAACAAATTCAACATTTATTTACGTATGCATGAACATCTTCTATATAATATTGCATTGATATACTTTGAAATATTTATTTAAAAAGAATCATTGGGCATTATCCCATTCGCGCAAAGCGCGTAGAAAAACTAGTAATATTTATAAAGTAATGTACAGTTGTACCGTTATAGAAATACAGAAAAAATATTAATACCATAATGACCTAAATCATTCCTAATAATGCAAAAACATAATTAAAATATTGAGTCTTGATCTAAATAATAAAAAGAAGATTAATTAAACTTAAAAAAAAAAAAAACTTAAACCATTTTTTTTTAAATGCAAGAAAATGATTTTCGATATTCCTTATTTATAATCTGATACTCAACTTTGAATGATATATATATATATATATATATATATATATATATATATATATATATATATATATATATATATATATATATATATATATATATATATATGTAGGCCCCGTTTGGTAAAATGACTGTTAGTTGATAGCTGTTAGCTGATTGTGTTAATTAGAGGGTATAAATAGTTGATAACATTAGCTGATTGTAGAAAAGCGTTTGGTAAATTAGCTGTTAGCTGATAGCTATTTGGTATAATTTCTTTTCTCAAAAAGCTAATTGAAAAAGTTGATTGGAGTAGTTTTTTGAATTTTAGCCTTTTGGAGTTGCAAAAAAGCTAATTAACAAAACATTTATATTGATATTTTAACTAAATCAAACAA